ATTGGCTTTAATCTATTATAAAAGATAGGATAATGAGATCAGACTGAGTTTGGAGGGTATTATTTCATTGTTTTTCCTTTTGACATGAACTTAAATGGCCGCTTTCACTGAATACAAACCATGTCTGTTAATCTGAATAACATTGCAATGCATCAGCAGAGATCTCATATGTCCAGTTGATACGTGTGAATGGATTGCCAGAACATTTATAGGATTACTTTCTGGAGTAGTTTTATAGATTGAATTTCCTTTATGATGCCTGGATGTGGCCATACTGTCCTAGTTACTTTTTTTTAATTTTCTTAGCTTTTCCTGATTTATTTATGGAGCATGATTCCACTCTGAATGCTTCATACCAAGTCTTGATTGCCAAAGGGACATCCAACTGCCCAATGCACTTGTTCATATGTTATTCTTTTGTTTAGCATGTCAAAGTATTTCAGTGTCACTGGAAGGTGGTCTTTTCTGCAAATTTACTGTTAATTATAGTTTTCTGATTTATGCTTGTTGGAACAGATTGTGCTGGGAGAAGCTTGGGTGGGGCAGTCAGAAGTCTGATGAGTTATTATTACCTGTTTTGAAAGAGTATGAGAAGCGTGAGGTTAGGCCTCTCTCTCTCTCTCTCTCTCTCTCTCCCTCTCCCTCTCCCTCTTACACACAAGCGCACGCGCACACACACACACACACAATGTGCATGTACTTGAAGGTGCATTTAGACAAAGATTCATGAATATAATGAATATGGTAAATAAATAATTAAATGGGTTCCTATAACCATTTGCTCCTATGGAAGATGCTGACAGCAAATTTTGTTGTCTGATGAAGATTCAACTGCGATTGGAAGCATTTTACCCTTTCGCTTTCAATGAAAGATTTGCCAAAATTCACAGTAAGAGAATTAAGAAAGCTGTTAAAAGAATTACTGGCAAACAAAGCGCAGAGTTGATGGGTGAGGCTGTTCAAGAAGCTTCTAAAAGTAGGAAGAAGATGAGAGTCAGCTCCAATAATAGCGGAAATAAGAGATCAAGGAAATCCTCAGTAAAATCTAGGGGCACTAACCTGAGCAATTCTGTGGAAGAATCAATGCCAAAGCTGTCAAGAGAAGAGCAAGACCCTGGAAATTCTGTTCAATCTGAAATAAGGAATCCGGAAATGCCTCTGCCGGCAGATGTTGGGCAGAATACCAAAGAACAGTCACGTGGGTATGAAAGGGGTAGAGGTCGTCGAGTACAAAGAGAAAAAAGGAAAGCAAGTCTTGGTTCTGAGCCATCTGAAACCAGTTGTAGCAATGGTAATAGTGGTGATAATGACCTCCAAGTCCATTGTGATAAATTAGAGGAGCAACGAGAAGTGCGGCGGGTAAGCTCTGCATCCTCGCCGTTTCCTTTTATATTCCATCATTAATGAAGAATGTAACTTAATTGGTAGGGTTCAACCTTCTTGACATTCTCTTGTTTTTATCTTCCAGTCAGCTCGTTCTCGGAAGAAGGTGAATTACGCTCAGAGTGACCCAGAAATTGACGAGGTTGGTGTGTCACCAATCAACAATGGAAACTCTAGTGGAAAGGAAAGGGAACAAGATATATTTGAGACAGAAGAGGTATGTGGAGATGCTAGTGGTGGTGGTGGTAACTTCACTAAACAGAATCATCATGAAGTGCCAGATCCTGCAGTCATGGAGGACATCTGTAGTGACTACCTTGGAAAGGGGGGTGGATTTTGCACTGATGAAGATCCAGGGACAAACAATGACATAGATCCATTCTTTGAAGATAAATTGTCTAAAGAATACCTGAAAACAGGAGGCGGGTTCTGTTTGGATGAAGATGAAACAAACAAGGATGAAGAGGCTTCATGCCACCCAGATAACTCTGGGAAAAGTGACCCTACCCATTGCTTCAGTGTTATGGGAGAGGCTGGCCATGATATTGGCTCAAGTCAAACAGTTTACAGCCCTGAAGGAGCTTTGCAGGGATTTCAAAACGGAGGGAAGACGGACACATCTAACTCCATGATGAATCTGGAGAGTCAAAATACCACAAGTAATACTACCGTAGGCAAGACCCTGCAGGAGGATACAAAAATTGATGGGGAGATGCCCTCTGCAGGAGCCCTGAGTGCCATGCCCTACTTGAAGAGAAAGCAAAGGAGGAAGAAATGACATGCCGCCCAGGCTTTGGGAAATCCTGGTAAATATAAATAAC